TCGGCCACGGAAGTCTACGCCGTCCACCAGGGTGGCACTTATTGTCGTTACCACAAGAACACCTCCCACAATACAGACGACTGCGTCGCGCTGAAGAAAGCCATTGAGCGCTTGATTCAACGGGGTGAACTCCACCAATTTGTCAAAGTTACCCCAAGGAACTCCACCGGCAATCAGGAAGGGGACACCTCAACGAAGAAGCATGAAATTGGGAAGCTCAGCGATGACGAGGACTTCGAGGAGCCCCAACTGAAGAAGCGTCACATCCGCTGACTGCGTCCTTCCTCGAAGGGACGCACGGCCGACGGCTGGACCTCCATGGTGAAGTTCTACCAGCAAGCCGACAGACGGCTTATCCCTCAAAATACGAAGGGCCCTACATCTCGGTGAAGTTCTACCAGCAATCCGAAGAGGGTGCAGATGGCAGAGCCCCTATCCCAAGGTCAGAAACTCATTGGGAAGCTCTTGTACGAGTTGTTCAGAAGGTTACCCCCTCGGCCTCGAGCCACTGACCCTAATAAAAGCCGTTGCCATAAACAACGCACCTATTGTGTTCTGCTTATTTCTTGTAAAGTTTAGGTAAAGGATGCCACACAACAAAGCGCGTCGCTTCGGCCCCTTCGAGCGAAACGCTCACGTATGGCCGACGACGCCACACAAAACAGCACATCGTCCCGGCCCCTTCGAGCGAAACGCTCAGGCATGGCCGACGATGTCCCAGGACGAGGGGCCCGCAAACGGATCACGTCTTGAAATGGGAAGCTCACCGCGTCGTCTTCGCGCTAAATCGCATTACGACAGGCCTGAAAGAATGGCCGAGGTGACAAAATCCCCACACTTGGGGTTGGGAAACGGCAGCCGTCGGTAACCGACCAAAAGCCTAGCCCGCGCCATAAATAGACGACGGGACCCCCCAAGGTCTAGGGACGTGCCAGCGCCAGAGGCCGGACAGTTGCCCTCATGGACTCCCTATCGGCCGAGGGAATAGCAACCCCCTCGGTCGAGCCTGAAAGAAGGACCCCCACTCCTCGCTCATAGCAGTGGAGGAAGAAATAAAAGAGGGACAACCGAGGACTGTGCACTCGCCGGCCTCGAGCGAAATCCCCACAAATTAAAAGAGGGACAACCGAGGACCGTGCACTCGTCGGCCTCGACGAAATCCCCACAAATAAAAGAGGGACAACCGAGGACCGTGCACTCTCCGGCCTCGAACGAAATCCCCACAAATCAAAAGAGGGAAGCCGAGGACCGAGCACTCGCCGGCCCCGAGCAATAAAAACGAAATCCCCACAAATCAAGCCACATATTTGGCTAAGTACATATCAGGCAAATACTATGCATTATGGACGAAGCAAGATCATATATGCGGATCAGACGAGCGCTCAACGTCGTCCTTCATTATAGGTACGGCTTTGCCGTCCTCATCATAGGACCGGCTCCACCCCCTTCATCTTCAGACGACTGGCTTCATCAGCGCCGTTGTCCTCAGATCACGGCAGATCCCCCGGTCTAAACGTGATCCTTCGTCTCAAGACCGGCCTCCTCAGCGCCGAGCGTCTTGAGCTAGCGAGCGGGCTCGCCATTCCCTTCCTGGATGGCGACCCTCTCCTTCATACGAGGAGCGGCTTCACCAGTGCCATCGTCCTCAGATCATGACAGACCCCCAGGTCTCAACGTGATCCTTCATCTCAAGACCGGCCTCCTCAACGTCGAGCGTCTTGAGCTAGCGAGCGGGCTCGCCATTCCCTTCCTGGATGGCAACCCTCGCCTTCATATGAGGAGCGGCCTCATCAGCGCCGCTGTCCTCAGATCACGGCAGACCCCCCGGTCTCAACGTGATCCTTCATCTCAAGAACGGCTTCCTCAGCGCCGAGAGTCTTGAGCCAGCGATCGAGCTCACCATCCCTTCCTGGATGGTGACCATCGCCACTGCATGACGCACGGCTTCACCAACGCCTCGTCATCATTTACTTGGATCGGCTTCATCATAACTGTCATCCTCAAGTCACGCCTGGTCCCTCGGCCTTGGCATGATCATCTATCTCAAGACCGGCTTCCTCAGCGCCGAGAGTCTTGAGCCAGCGATCGGGCTCACCATCCTTTACCGGATGGTGACCATCGCCACTATATAACGATCGGCTTCATCATCGCGATCGGCCCCTCGGCCAAGGCGTGATTATTTATCTCAAGACCGGCCTCCTCAGCGCCGAGAGTCTTGAACTAGCAAGCGGGCTCGCCATTCCCTTCCTGGATGGCGACCCTCGCCTTCATATGAGGAGTGGCTTCATCAGCGCCTTCGTCCTCTGATCACGGCCGACCCCTCGGTCTCAACGTGATCCTTCATCTCAAGGTCGGCTTCTTCAATACTGAGAGACTCGAGCTTGCATGACGAATCGCTCCATCAACGCCTTCGTCATCATTTATTTGGACCGGCTTCATCAGCGCCGTCGTCCTCAGATCACGGCAGACCCCCCCGGTCTCAATGTGATCCTTCATCTCAAGACCGGCCTCCTCAGCGCCGAGCGTCTTGAGCCAGCGAACGGGCTCGCCATTCCCTTCCTGGATGGCGACCCTTGCCTTCATACGACGAGCAGCTTCATCAGTGCCGTCGTCCTCACATCACGACCGGCCCCTCGGCCAAGGCGTGATCATCTATCTCAAGACCGGTCTTAGCCATTCCTTCACCGGATGACGACCGTTGCATGGATTGTAGGACCGGATCCTCATCGCCGTCGTCTTCACATCACGACCAGCCCCTCGGCCATGGTGTGATGCTCTATCTTAAGACCGGTCTTAGCCATTCCTTTACCAGATGGCGACCGTTGCATGGATTTCGGACCGGCCCCCAGTGCCGTCGTCCTCATATCTCGAGACCGGCTCCCAACGCCGAGGTACTGTTATAGCGACCGGGCTCGCAATTCCCTTCCTGGACAGCGACCGTCGCCTTCATATGACGCATGGATCATTACCATTTTCGTCCTCACATTCAGACAAGCATCCATCACCTCGTCCTCATATTCAGACCGGCTCATCAGCGCCGTCGTCCTCACCTCCAGGCGGGTGTCCCCTCATCAGACGGACACCGCTTCAGCTCCACACCTAGGCCGAAGGGTTCACCCCTTGGAGTTCATTTTGGGGGATCCGGTGTACTCCTTTTCCCTCAATAGGATTTTTTTCCCACAGGGTTTTTCCTAACGAGGTTTTTAACGAGGCACCGCCCCATTGTGGATCAAAAGGTGTCGACCCTCGGCCCCCTATTGAAGACGTGTATTGCTCTACTCCTCTTCACCTCACTACATGAGCCTCGAGGAGTGGGGGACTGAGGGACTACATCGGCCTCCACATACATGAAATCATCCAGAAAGCAACATAAAGCAAGGACTACCAAGTGGTACCTCCGTCGGCCATGTATCCATCGGCCAGAAGAAGGTCTGGGGGACTACATCGGCCTCGAGCGCAAAGATAAACAAATTCAAAATCCAACGAACACAAGCCCATGACAATGGCACCTCAACGTCCAAACAACCATGTGTTCACCCTTTGGCCAGGCCGAAGCGCAAAGCAGGACGCACACCGTCCTCAATGTCAAGGACACACATCGTCCTAAAGATCAAGGACACGTGTCGTCCTCAAAGCCAAGGACACTCCTCGTCCTCAAGGCCAATGGCACGCATCGTCTCCGGGACTATGACATTCATCGTCCATATCACGAACAAAATGAACGCGCCACGAACGTCCGCAAGCGTAAGGTCCATCAATTAAAGTCAAAAGCACAAGGGCATGGCATTCTTCGTCCACAGAGCCAAGGGCGCACAACGTCCTCTGGTCCAGGACCCTCATCGTCCTCAAGGTGAAGGACATCCACCGTCCTCAAAATGAAGGACATTCATCGTCCTCAAAATGAAGGACATTCATCGTCCTCAAAATGAAGGACATTCATCTCCCTCGAAACAAAGGACACCCATCGTCCTCAAACAAGAGATAACCACAATGGCCTCCTCGGCCCAAAATACGAAATTCAACCATCAACGGCCAGGAATAAGAAAGCACTGTCTTCATCGGCCACTCATGACAGAGGACGCTCATCGTCTCCACCAAGCAAAGGCACTCGTCGTCCTTAAACATAAAACACGCATCATCCACATGACTAGGGCCCTCTTCGTCCACATCGAGGAGCACACAACGCCCAAACACAAAAGGACATAAATCTACTCTCCTTCACTTCGTCAACGTCTCAGCTTAGAGAGTGGGGGACTCCTGATGGAGTATATGTGTCTAGGCTCCAGGACCCACATACTCAGAAGAACAGAAGGTACCATGATCACTGGGTGACCTCGTCGGCCATGCCCTCATCGGCCATGCTCTCATCGGCCATGCCCTCATCGGCCAGAAAAAGGTCTACTCAGAATATGATCCAAGAGCCCGGAGAACCGGGTGCCCTCATCGGCCATGCTCTCATCGGCCATGCCCTCATCGGCCAGAAAAAGGTCTACTCAGAATATGATCCAGAAGCCCGGAGAACCGGGTGCCCTCATCGGCCATGCTCTCATCGGCCATGCCCTCATCAGCCAGAAAGAAGGCCACCCAGAATATGATCCAGAAGTCAGGAGAACCGGGTGACCTCGTCGGCCATGCCCTCATCGGCCATGCCCTCGTCATCCATAGATAGCCTCTAGAACAGGATTTTATACTTATCATTTCTATACACTTTGTATCCGACCCATTAGTGGCCCTGTTGTAAATGGGCCTCTAAAGCCCAAGACTTGGGAGCCCAACCCTAATTTCCTCTATAAATACTCCCCTTGGGAGTAGTTGTAAGGGTTCAGAATTCATTAATACAAAGCAAATATACTACTTCTCTCTCTAGTTCTCACTTTTCTCTGGAGAATATACTCTATCAAACGCAATGCTCCATATATGTCATGATCAAGACCCATCAGAAACTCATGGTTTTTTTCTTGTTCAATTTGTTTAAGTATATTTTGTTCAAACCCGTCACACTTGCATTGTGGCATGATAGGGAAACCCTCATAGTCGTCCACAAAGACTAAGGCATCCTAAATACATTGCAATAGTCTGCCCATCCTGTCGGCATAGTCGCGAAGCGCCATTTAAGATCCTCCCAAAAATCACGCGCACTCTCCATGTAGGTGAGATTGGTACGTAAACCTGGCTCAATCGCGGTCATCATCCATCCCACGACTCCACGAGCATCGAGTTCACGGTGTCCCAATCTTCCAAAGTCCTGTATGTTGTCGTCTGGTCGTTCGATCCTACCATCCATAAAACTCACCTTTCTTTTCGCACGAAAGGCATTTTTCATCATCTTCCTCCATTCGCGATAGTTACTCTAGCCTTTGAGGGTTACCCCGCAAATGAGCATTCCAGGGAAATTGAAGCTTGCCATGTAATACGGAGACGGAGGATCATTGATCTTCTGTTGCATCCGTTCGGTCGTTCGGTTGCCAGTAGAGTTGGCTTCATCGTTTGACATGGTGTTCTTGGCAAAAAGGTATAAACGTAGATTGTTTAACCTGCTCTGATACCAAGATAAATTAGGAATTGAGATACAATAGGAAGCCGCAGTAGCTCTCAATTAGCAAGCCGCAGTAGCTTCCACGCAGAGCATGAGCATTATAAAAAGGAACAAATATGGCGAAGCAATTTGGCCTGAGATTACAAAGCAAGATGCCAAGTTGGGTCGGTCTTCATCCTTCACCCCCCTTACCTGCGACAACCACCATTTCAGTCTGCCCTTCTTCTTCTGCTCGTAGGACATCACCACCAGTAGTTATTCGTAGAAGAGGAGGCTGCTGCTTTGGGTTCAAGAATAGTCGTAGGGCGGTGGTGATCGGAACAGGTGTCTTCATGTCTGCCAAATTCGGAGGGAAGTCTTTCTTGGCCGCTTCTTCTTTACAAAAGAAGGGTGCAATTCAGGAGGTAAAGTAGGGATCCTAATTCCTTGTCCCATCCTCTATTAGTTCATTATTAATTTGATATGAATATTATTGATATTAATTTAAAGGTGCTGAAGAATGTGAGCTGGCCTGAGCAGTTCCCTTTCAAGGAAGATGATTTCCAGCGGTTTGATGAGTTAATTCTCAAAATTCTCATCTGCAATGCATATCTAATTTTGTCTCTTTAATCTGTCCCAACTTGTTTTCTTAATTTGTTTCAAATAAATTCCATTTTTGGTATTACAAAAATCTCATATTAGGTCCATTTTTTTTAACTTTAGCCATATTGGAGTTTGCAGGTCAAAGGATTCGTTGTTCTATGAAATGCCTCGTTTGGTGATGCATATTGATGATCCAGCCATTGCTGCACTTACTAGATATTACTCCCAGGCTTTACCTCATACTAATTCCCCAGGAGTAGCAATCTTGGATATGTGTAGCAGTTGGGTACGGCAGTAAAGAGATTTTTCTTATGCTTTTTGCCCCGCCCCCACCCCACACATGTAGAATGTTGTCATGTTAAAACAGTTGATTTAGTTGATCTCAAATCTCCACTTGTTCTTTTGTTTTTATAGGTCAGTCACTACCCTGCGGGATATAAGCAAACAAGCATTATTGGATTGGGCATGAATGCAGAAGAGCTAAGGCGAAACCCAGTAAGTTAATTAGTCATCACTGTTTGGTAAGTGGGGTGGGTGTTTGGGGATCATATCGTGGAATGAGAATGAGAATTGTAGATGAGGAATTTATTAAAATAGTATTATTGTGATATAATTTAGTAGCCTTTAAGCTTTGATTTATTGGTATAGCATGGTCTGAACTCTGAAAATTTATACATGGAGTATCTTTTTCATAAGATAAAGAGAGTTCTCACATGAATACATGTCAAACGGGGTCAAACCTGCAGGTGCTAACAGATTATGTGGTGCAAGATTTGAATACCAATCCCAAACTCCCATTTGAAGACAACACTTTTGATGCCATTACCAACACGGTACGACCATTTCAGAAGCTTGATAGGCACAGTGTTTCTTTTATATACTCCCTCCGTCCCATTAGGAGGTTCCAATTACGGTTTACTATGCTTGATTGACGATAAAGCAACTTAATCCCTGCTCACACTCTGATTATTTTAAGTAAATAAAATTTACATATTCAGAAATTACATTAAAACCGCTACATAACCTGATAAAAAATGTAAATTTGATAAAAAAATGATATATAAAACAAAAGATTAAGAATGATTTAAGTTGACCATGTGAATAGTGGACAAAAACCTTTGAATGGGACGGCGGGAGTAGAATATAGGTTTCCGACTTAGCCTAAGCAATGTAAGTGGTGTAACTCAAGTGGTTTGTTTCTCTCTAAATGATTTATGTTGGTGCATTGTTTAAGATTACTATAAATAATGGATACCATGCAGGTTAGCGTTGATTATCTAACAAAGCCTATTGTTGTTTTCAAAGAGATGTCTCGCGTTCTTAAACCTGGGGGAGTTGCGATTATAAGGTAGCGAAATCTTTCCGTGTCATTCCCAAGTCATCCCACCGTGATAGAATTTAAATATTATATATAAGTCACCTATGAGGTTAGATATGTCACCCTTAATAGTCACTAATCCATGAAGCAACATTTTCTCCTTCTATAGATGTGAATATATTTGGGGTCGGCTAACATGAATCGATCTATGATATCGATGTCTAGCGATATTCATATTTTGATTCATGTCATGTGATGTGACTAAGTGATACTGTTGGCCGTCACGCGCCTACCACAACACCCTCCTCCTTTATCCTGGCTTGGGACAGGCATGATACCAAAAAAATGATCTCATTTCGATTAAGGCTTGGATGTTGTTTGTTGTATACATGTGAATATATATATTTTTTACTATATTTTATAGTTCCATTAACTCTGGGGGAAATCTCATGTCCACTTTGGGACTCTTTATATGGCTGTTAGTTTCTCAAATCGATGCTTTTGGACCAAGGCAATATCAATATGGACATCAACAGGAGATGATGATCATGTAATGATAGTAGGCTCGTACTTTCATTATGCCGGTGGCTTTGAGACCCCTGAGGTATATTTTCTAATACTTTTGCAAAGCTTTTTGTGTTGATTCACCTTTGAATATTTATGAGGCATTTACTTAAAAATAATAATTGTTTGCAAAATGCTAATGATTAGGAATATCCTGATGTAATTAATGTTTGAGGCACAAGTAGTTTATAATTTTATATGATGGCTCAAAACAAGAATGTTATTGGGTTTTGTATCTGGAAGTGTTTTTCATAAAAAAAGGCATTTCATGTAAAATTAATTTTGCAGGGTTTGGTATGAGCTTGTAATCCTTATACTTCAAGTTGCAGGGAAACTGTTTCATATGATTGTTTTGGCATTATTTTCTTTGCAAACTTTTCACATTTACCAATTTTGCCCACTATTTAATAAATAAAATATGGTTAGGGAGGGGAATCATGTATTCTTTTCTAAAGAAATTACTTTCAAAGGTCCACGAGATCACTTACACAGCAATGTATGCATATAATTACACTTAACCTGAGATAATTTTCATGCTTTTTATTTTTAAATAAACTGAGTAAAACCTTATTTACTTATTACTTTCATGGGAAAGTAATCATTTTCAAAAATACTAAACGCCCTCATACAAACCCCAATGACATAGGAAAATGCACATTGTATGCTAGGATTATATGATTAAGCTTAAAAAGCTTTGTAGGGCTTAATGTTCAGAACAGTGCAAGAATAGATCTTTTCAAACAAGGCCGTATTCGAACAATTAATTTTACAAACATAAATAACAGTAGTATTCCAAAATCTGTGCAAGTATTCTATAATTATAACAGTTAGAAAAATGATATTAATAACGGCGAGTTTAGTCAGATAAAAATCCCGAGTTTATCACAAATCACTAGACAAACCACCAAATGCAAGAACAAATAAATTTCATCGCCAAAAACGAGACCCTCCAAGTAATATTTTTGATCATATATCCAACAATTACATGTGAAATTTATTTTGTCAAAATGAGTCTTTGGACCACCTCATATCCTAATGTGGCTCCACTGCTGCTTTGTTACATTACTTGCATAGACTTTGTTGTTAGAATATTAGAATCAACATTGCAGATTTATAGTAGTTCTTCACAAGAAAGAAATCTGTTTGCTTCAAGCTACATAAATGATATGCATGTTCATTTTGATGTTAGGCTGTGGATATTTCTCCAAACCCCGGGCGCTCAGACCCTATGTATGTTGTTTATTCAAGAAAGCGAACAACCCAAAAAGGTGGACAGTAGATATTCTCGTTGCGCAAGGATGAGATTTTCTGTGAAGACAATTTCTGAATCCATATAACCAGCTAATTTCTTCAAGACAAGTAGGATTTTCTGTCCTAGCTAGTAGCTATAGCACTCCCTCTTCATACTTGTCAACAGTTGGATCAAAGAATGCATTAATGATCATGCACGCGTCAATGTTTGTATATTATGCTAGCAAGTTGGATGACTCAGAGCTAGCAAGAGAGTGGAGTTCTTGTTATGCTAGGTCAGATTTGCGCGATGGCATTGCCGCCATATCCTTTGCGGTGCACCAGATCGATTATTTCCCTTGTATGTATTTGTAATGGTTACTCCGGAGTCCGAGGATGGATGGGGTGGGGAGTTGCTTTTATTCACGTACATTGCTTTCTCTAATACTTGTAATAAATACTAGCAAGACATTTGCTCCCCTTCTAGATTTTATTTTCTATTTCATATATATAGTCGATCCAGAGACCATCATTTGGGGCTTTGATGGGTGGATACTTACTTGATGGATGGCTCATAATACTACGAATGTTTTTGTGCAATGAAGATGCTATTATTTGTAACTTTAATACAGATAAAATAGGACGCTTGAATTGAATTACCTAAAAAATATAACTTCCATTAATGTTTAAACAAAATTGAAATTGAAAGCGTCCAATAATTACTTTGTGCACCTTACTTGGACAAATATCTCCTCGCTGAATTTGTTTTTTAAGTTTATAATACAGTGCCCGCAAGCGGAAGATTAATTCAATAAATGTAATAGAAAAAAGGGGGGATAATTTTCCTTTTTCGTTCGTTTCAATTAAAACTTCCACTTTCCCTTTTTAGTAAGAATTTGTGGTTCACAACATTTCTTACATATTTCTCTCCTCTGTACAACTCTCCACCAAACAGTACCTACTATCTTAAATTGTGTGTCAAACCTATTTGGAAGATAAAATAGGAACGGAGGGAGTAAAACAAAAGTGTTGTTATTTGTTAACGGTTTACAAATATTCATGTTCTTTTAATTTAGGGAAAATTGTCAAATAGGTCCATGTACTTTTACCGTGTTTGTCTTTTTACGCTAGTCAATTAAGTTCTCCAAATGTTATTTTTAATATTCAAATTAGTTATTTCGTAGATAATGAAGAAATAAAAAGAAAATAAATTTAAAAAAAATTATAAAGAAAATACAAAACAATAAAAAAATGCAGTCTATTCATCCATGTGTAGGGCTGAGCAAAACCGACCCTACCCGAAAAACCCGACCGAATTACTCTGAATTTTTAAGAATGGGTCGGTTGACCCGACCCGAATCCTTGAAACCGACCCGCCAGCCCGATTTGCTTGGCCCGAGACCCAGCGGGTAGGGTTCTCCTAATCCCTACCCGACCCGCCCGAAAACCCGACCTAGCCTAGGCCCATTTCCCCCAAGCCCATAACCCATAAGGCCATATTACCCTTATCCCCTTATCCGGTTATCCCTTCCCCCACATAACCCTAAGTTACACTCTATCTCTATTCTCTAACTCTCTAAGCGGCTAACCCTAACCCTAACATACACTCTCTACGACTCAGAGCCTCAGAGGAGTGAGAGACTCTGACTTCTCAATTCATCGGCCGCCGTTGGCATCGCTGTAGGGCTGTAGTCCTCAACCTAGTGTAAGTGTGGAAGCCTTGATAGTCTTCTAGCCCAACGTGAGTAGTTGAGACTTGAGATTTGAGACTGATTCCCAATCATTCTTCTTCGAGCCTTTGAGGTATAAAATACTTTAAAATGTTTGTACAATGGTATGATTAGTCCTTCATGATGCATGCATGTTCTGAGTTTTCAGTTGTGAACTTGTGATGTTCGTATATATTTCTGAAACTTGCGTGTTGACTGAATGACTGTTGAGTTCACACTTGATTTCTGAGTTCAGTCATGTACAGATCTGTTCGAATGTTTGCTTGTCCAGTTGTCCCTGTTAATTGTTGATCTATATTAGTATATATACACACCTAGGGCTGGCAATTTGAACCGAAAAAACGAAAACCGAACCGAAAAAAACCGAACCGTCAAAGAAAAAAACCGAACCGAACCGAAAAAATTGGGACCCAAAAATTAGGACCCGAAGTCTATCTCGGTTCGGTACCGGTTTTTGATATGATAAAGGTCGGTTGAACCGAACCGAACCGAAAATATATATTATTTATAAAAATCATTTGAAAAGCCCAACTCCCTATCATTTGGCCCAACTCCCTATCATTTGGCCCAACTCCCTATCATTTGGCCCAACTCCGTAGCTTTGAAGGAAATACGGAGCACAGAAAGAAGCCGCCAGGGAACTTGCGGAACTGCGGAAGACTGGAAGAGAAAGCGCCGCTCTTTCTCCGATATTTCATTCAGGCGGAGAAGCCATAGTCGACGAACAATCGGAATCGGACATATCAGTGATATCACCGTCTACCATTCAGGCGAAGTGTTGAATGGCTGAAGCCTGCGGAATTGCGCCGAAGTGTTGAACGGCTGAAGTGTTGAACTGCGCCGAAGTGTTGAATCGGACATATCAGTGATATCACCGTCTATCATTCAGGCGATTGTTCCGCGCCGAAGTGTTGAACGGCTGAAGCCTGAAGGGGAGGTGAAGAGAGCAATCTGCCGGCGCCGTCTACCATCGCTCCTGCTCCGGCTACCATCTCCGGTCTAACATTGCAGGTAAGTAACTTCGTCTCTAACTATGCTCCCCCCTCGTCTAACATCGCTGACCGTTCATCAGTGCCTCTAGTTTATCAGTTGACATTGTTTTTATTCATATTCCCTCAATTTTCCCAATATCTTATCCATTGATTGAATTGAATGAATTCTATATTAGTTAATTACTACCCGTTCTTAAATAAGTGAACAAAAAATTGAAAAAAAAAATTCTACCAAAGTGTTCTGCCCAATGAAGTGTGAAGTTGAAATGAATAAAGCCATAAAGGTGTGTTGAATGTTGATTATTGACGCAGTCTGTCCCACAGTGAACTAGTTTCCCATTGCATCATATTGTTATTAATTTATTATGCATGTTTGCAAGCTTAAGTATTTGTGTTATTTGACATTTTCCTCATGAGTTTAATCCATTAGGTGAAGTTATCTTTGCACATATCTGGTATCTTTGAACTGATGAATTTTAGTTATGTTGTTTAGACTTTAGATGGATGCTCATTCAGGTTCCCAACCTCAAAGCTCTCCCATTGAGGAACAATCTCAAACCCAAGATAACGTGCAAGAATCTACTGATGTTGTCAGTAAAAAGAAACCGGGAAAGAGTATTGTATGGCAACATTGTTCAAAAGGGGAAGGTAAAGATGACGAGGGCAATGTGTATCCAATTGGTATATGCAATTATTGCGAAAAAGAGTACCGGGCAGATTCTAAGAAAAATGGCACGATGGCCCTTCTTAACCATTTATATCGGTGTGCGGGATCTCCTCTTTGTAATAGGACTGGTCCAAATCAACCAATTTTAAATCAAGCAAGTATGGGAGGCGAGGTGCAAATCCACAACTTCAATAAAAAACGACTTGACATGAAGTGTGTGAAGTGGATCATCAAAGGAGAGTTACCCTTTAGGACAGTTGACCAGCCGGACTTTAGAGCTTTTATTAGTGATCTTCAACCTAAATATAAGATTCCTAATAGAAAGAAGATTTCCATGGAGGTATGGGATCTGTTTTGTGAGGAGAAGGCGAAGATTAAAAGTGTACTTGGTGATTTGAGGGTGAGCATCACAACCGATACTTGGACCTCAATCCAAAATATCAATTACATGGTGGTCACCGCTCATTTCATAGATATGGAGTTCAAGTTACACAAAAGGGTGATTAACTTTTCTAAGATCACTTCTCATAAGGGTGATGATATAGGTAGATGTCTTGAAGAAAAGTTGAATGAGTGGGGTATAAGCAAAGTTTTTAGCATTACCGTTGATAATGCTAGTTCAAACGATGTTGCGGTTGAGTACATGAAGAAGAAGCTAAAAAATCGTGATGATCTTTTTCTTGACGGTTATCACTTGCATATGAGGTGCACATGTCATATTATTAATTTGATTGTAAAGGATGGGATGAAGGAGTTGGTTGACTCCATTGAGGGCATTCGAAATTGTGTGAAGTATATTCATTCTTCAAGTGCAAGGTTGGATAAGTTTAGGGATTGTGCGGTATTGGAGAAGAAGGATAAGATGGCTACCGTTCCTTTGGATGTGGTGACAAGGTGGAATGCAACCTATTATATGCTTCATAGTGCTTATAAATACAAAAACGTTTTTGCAAGGTTGGGTGAAGATAGCACACAATTTCATGCATATTTTTGTGAGGAAGTAATGAGAGAGGTTGATGGCAAAAAAGTGAAAGTCAAGAGAGTGGGACCTCCGGAAGAGGAAGATTGGGGGAAAGCAATGGGCTTTGCACATTTCCTAAAGAAGTTCTATGATGTCACTATCAAACTTAGTGCCACGAAGAGCCCTACATCACATCTAGTTTTGAGAAGTTTGGTCAACTTGAAACTAGAAATTGATAGGAAGATTGGGGATTCCAAAGATCCTATTTTGCAAAGTGTGGCCAAATCAATGAAGGTAAAGTTTGATAAGTATTGGGGTGCTTTTGATAAAATGAATCTAGTAGTCTTTGTGGCCCAAGCTCTTGATCCAAGATACAAATTGCAAATGATTGAAATACACTTGGAAGATCTTGGGTTCACTTCCGTGCAAGTTGAAGCTATGAAGAGTGAAGTGAAAGGTCACTTGAATAAAATGTACAATGCATATAAGGCAAAAAACGTTGACCAATCTTGTGTAGAGGTTCAAATGGAGGAAGATGATGATGATGATGATGTAGATGATATGGCAGCAAGGGCGGAACGAAAGCTTAATAAGCAAAGAAGAGAGGCCAAGCTTAAGGAGATAGCTAATGAAGTAGATAAGTACTTCAATGATGCTTATGAGAGTACAAGAAATGATGAATTTCATTTATTAGATTGGTGGAGAGTCAATAGTGGGAATTATCCAACTCTTGCTAAGGTTGCTAGAGATGTATTTGCTATCCCGAGTTCTACGGTTGCTAGTGATAATGCGTTTAGCCTAGGGGGGAGGGTTGTGGATCCATTTAGAGCTTCATTAACTCCTAGAATGGTTGAGGCATTAGTGTATACTAGTGATTGGCTAAGAGGGGAAGAATTCCAATTCTACAAAGAGCCTACAGATGAAGAGCTTGAGTTCTATAAGGAACTTGAAGAACTAGAGCAAAGTAAATGGCTAACTTTCTTGAGTAATTTATAACTAATATTAATTACTATTATTATTATTATTGTTGTTGTTATTGTATTTGTTGTTGTTATTAAAAGTCCAAAACTACTAATATAGGTATGCCTAATGTAGTGCAAGTGCCACCATCTCTTCAAAGAAATTTAGCATTACCACCCCCACCATCACACTCTCAAGTTCAAAGCCAACTCCCACCAAGTTCACGTGTAGGTTCAAGAGGGGCTCCATCAAGAACAAGAAAACGTGGAAGAAGTATTGCATCATCTACTCATCCATGACAACTCGATGAAGGTTTTTTTTCT